GTCGGAAGCGCTGGGGTATATATTTCGTCTGCTCCAAGGCATATCAGTATTATCATCGTTTCATAAACTCTACCATCATTTGATGTACGTTGGCGAACAGCGTAATAAACAGAGTCAAAAGGGCTTGACTTTACGTCGGTTATTTCTGAGTAAGAAACCCATTCAAGTCTTTCGTTATATTCATTTTGTACGGAAGATTGAATCAAGTTGTCGATTATTGTATGAGCACATAAGACTGATGACATCGTTCTGAAGTAAATAATTCCATGAGCCTTTTCTATATACGTTTAAACCTGGAGTACGCAGTAATTGCAGTAATATTATCATCGGAAGTTTTCGGAGGGGTAAACCGGTCGTGAACTTGCATATATTTCCTTTTGAACGTTTTTGTAGATCAAAAATATCCGATACCCCTAATTTTTCCATTGTTGTGTGCATAATTTCTGCGCCTGTATCGGGTTGTAAAATTCGTCATGCATATGTAAACGTTCCTATAACCGAATTTCCAATGAGAAATGTTCAAAATTTAATAACTTCACAACTATGTGCGTTATTACCAGACTTTCGACGGCAATTGTCATGTAAATGTAAACGATGCGTTACATAACACATGCATGATGTAACGCGCATTTTACAATGCAGAACGTTGAATTCGTCATCATCGGATGGACACTCCGAAGCGAAATTGAAGCAAAAATTGAGTCTGCATGACAGCTCCAACAACTTTGTCCAGTCATTCGGAACTGTTGCCCTTTCAACAATAGAAGAAAGTGGTCTGAAGTGATGAATCTCGGTTACTTGGGTTTGGAGACTCCAAAGAAAAAAAGAAAGACATTGACCGTGTTGTTCTGCGGTATGATGTTTTGAGGAATTTACCTGCCAGGTAGGTCACATATTGTACAGCCCCATACATAATATTTCTATTTATGGGAGAGAGGGCCATCTGAGCATCCAAATGAAGGGATAAGATTTGAGCCTGTACGACCTGTAAATTCCCGATTATATGGTTACGAGGATTAATAAGCCTGCGGTAAATCTTTAAATGCTAAAAATAGGCGTGTTGCGGTTCATTCTCCCCGACAATTATTTCCCAAAAATATTTCTGTAAAGCGATGTTGAAGTGGAATTCAAGCTCGCATGGCCTTTTTGCCAGAACTTTTGTTGTACAGTCAACTCTGTCTGTCTATACCGGCGTGAGTGGTTTGGCGGGTTTGGCCGTTATAATGAGAGACCGGTATATGATTCAGCCGTTATAAGGGGTGAGATAAATATATAATCTTTTGGTGCAGCGAAATTGGACCGGTATAAGGCGAAACCGGTATAAAAAATGCCGGTATAGACAGAATTGACTGTAGATCGAAAGAAATTCGTTCGGTTCAAAAGCCATCAGATATGGTGGCGCATGCAACATAGAGTCTCGAAAATGCAAATTTCGTTCCCAACGCAACAGTTTAAAAAAAAAGTTTTCGTTTTTTCACTTTTCACGACCAATATAATTACTAGTTAGTTGCATATACTGTACAACATTCTGTTGTAAGAAGATTTATGACTCCTATTGTTTGGCAACGTGTTTCGCTCAAGTTATCTTTTGTCGGTATTTGATTTAAGGTAAAAATAAATCTGGCGAGCAAATTTAGGCGTTTTGACAGATTAGTGTCGAAATAATTGTTGGGTAATAATTGTGGGGGAAGTGATTTTCGGGGAAATGAACGGCCCCGTTGCGAGCGCAATTCTTTTAGTTGTATAAGCAGCTCGACTTTCGTCATGTTTGCAGTTCATAATAATATTCCTACGAGTAGCTCACATACACGATTGAACTTTGTTTTCCTGATAAACGATTGATATAGCCGAAACCATTAAGTCCTATATCAATTAGGAGTATTCGCTTCTTATCCCGCGGATATTCTCGTGGCAATACGATTGTTATTTTCTTAAGTATAAACGCGTTTAGATAGATGCAATTCTATCCCCGGCCTTCGAATTAATCATTAACACTAGGACGAATAATCGTCTAGGATTAGTGTCTATTGATCGACACAAGTATTAAAGCCTGGTTTAAAGGTCACCAACTGTCGTTGTAATTAGGAGAAGCTACAGCTCCGTTGAAAATAGCTAAATCCCAAGGTCAGAGATCGAACGCTCTCCTGTGATTGTTGACTCAGCGATGATAACGGGTTGTTTTACATGGACTCTTTGAGGCCTTTGGTCAGGGCCGAAGAAACAATTAACAGTCAGAAATATATAGACATCTTGAATTCACATTAATACCATTTATGCAAGAACTCGAAGGGGAAAATTATTGAGTGTGAATTTTAGCAAGACAATGCTTCATTTCATTGTAAAGCTACGACAATAATGATGACGTGTTTCTCCCTTACATTTCGACATTGTTACAAGGAGTTTTAGGTCGGAGATGTCATATTGTCCATATTTACCGAAAGTGACATTCGCACACACGTATGACATCAATAATTGCGCAATCTGTAAATAATTCACATACGCATACGCTAAAAATAGAAAAACTGATATCTCGAATAGTTATATAAGAATCGCGACTTTCTACGATAATTATTCGTTGACGGAGAAGCACGTTTGATATAACCATAAACTCACCCCAACCTATAGGCTTCCCATCGGAAGGAAATAGTTGATTTACTCGAGGACGGATAGTTATCTAGGATTAGTGTCTACCGATCGACATTAGGTCGTGAGTAGTAAAGGTCACTAACCGTTGCTATATTTAACTAAAAGTAGGAGACGCCACAGCCCCGTTCGAAAGATAGTTAAATCCCAAGAGTTGACGATCGATTGCTCTCCCGCGATCGTTGACTCGACACTACGAAAAATGTATTAATTAAATTGCATTTACGACCCACTTTCCTTGCAACCCGTTTGGGATTCTGAAACCATCCCTTTTTTAGCAAACGCCTGACATACATTCACAAGATCGAAGTGGAAGACCGGATCTCCAAGAGGTTTTGCGATTCACAATTAAAAATAACAAATACTGGTCAAGTAAACAAAAGCATATACATATTAATATCTACCATCACCAATTCACGTGATAAATGTTTACCATGTAGCATGATATATGAAAACAATAGCAAAATGAAGCAGTATTCAGATGTTGCAGATAAACCAACAACACCATTGCAACATTCTTCTCAGAAAATGGGATTGATCATATGCAAACATCTCTTATAAGGTTTAAACACATGATCTCTTTGCTGTACATTTTGTGAAAGAAAATCGTTCCAATTTTCACAGGCAGAAGTAGTCCAAAACTATCACTATTAAATATCTGACGCAGCATCCGAGATGGATCCACTTGCACAATAATAACACATCTTCAGCCATTTCACCTTAAATATGGCATTGTTCAAATAACGCCTTAAGCCTATTATTTGAAAATGCAAAATTGGCAACACAATTTAAATCAAACAGTACTCATATCAGCTGTCTTTCCGTATGATTTCAACACGTCTATAGCCGACATGATACTTACCAATTATAAACGACACCTTTTCTATCTATGACCTTCAGACGTATCTGCATGAAATGTTACGGATTATAAATAATCTTGGTATTTGTCTGCTTGAACGTGACATGTTTCTTAATATGCTGGTCTGAGATGTTACATTACAGTACATGCAGATGTTGTTTTTCAGGATAACGCCTTTCCGTACGATTTTTGAATACTCTGTGTGAAATGTTATAAATATGGTTGGCATGAATACTTATTAAATATAAGATAAGTACGTCTGAGTATATGAACGATACGAATATTTGTCAGTCTGAGATGCGGTACATAAATGGCTAGGATGAGTGCTCGTTTAATTAGAAATGACACCTTTCCGTATAATTTCAAACGAGATGTTACAAACACGCTTATGATACAAGTACTTGCTTAACTCGAAATGGCGCTTCCCGTCTAATTTTAAACGCTTTGTCTGAGATGTTACAAATATCTAAATGACATAAGTATCAATTTAATTAGGATGACACTTTTTCATATAATTTTCAAACGAGACATTTCATTTTTAGGATAAACTAGAACCGGGAGTTGTCAATACCTTCCGGCCTATAACTCATGACCAGAATATTTATAAGACACATTCCAGACAAGACCCGTAAACAAATCAGCAGCTTGGTCGAGTCCGAAATTGATTTTTCTACCTGTGTTTAGACCCTCTGATTCATATGATTTATCTATTGTGGTTTCGATAGACGATGTCGTTCCGTTAAGGCTAGCTGTCCCTTTAGTAAATTAATGGGCTTCGGGATAATAATAACTACACTAAGTATCCAACCAACCAATAAACATTACACTCTATTAATGCGCTGTTCTCCAAAAATATCTGACCAAGTAATAAATTGTGTTTATTAATAATTGCAAATTTATTCATCTTTGTGGCCTTCAGCATTTGATCCATTATTTGAATTACTATTGTATCTGTTACAATGATTTTTGGAATTTTTAAATGCGACCAATGACCTCACGAGTCCTCCCCGCTTTCCATCTTGCCCGCGTTCGGACTTGTTTCGTTCATCATTTAAATTGTAAACAAACGTAAACAAATTTATTTATGGCAACACACAAAGTCACGTAATCAATAGCTTTTCAGAATAGGAAATTACTCGTCATAAGCAGGAGATTAAAATAATTGCGTGTAGAATCTTGAGAAAATGAAAAAAAAAGGTTGATCGGATATTTTGTCCGGTTAGTGTAGAATCTATTCTGATTACTCGTCGATCACTGAGCGAACTACGATATAAACAGTTACAATGGAAATTGTGGCTAAAGTTTGCGCCCTGTCAAAGTAGGGGCGACTCTATGAATTCGTGACGAAAATGTTATGTCATGATCGTAATTCCTCAAACATAATAAAAGAGATGTCTCTCAAGTCAAAGCATGCAATACGACAAATATGAAAGCCAGAATAGAGATGACTGCGACATTCATCTGCTTTTTGCTAGTTTTGGGTTATGTATCGTGTACAATGCTAAGTAAGTAATGACAAGTTCATAGTGTCAAATACATATACACATATAGTGGAATACTAATTCCTACCACATTACCTTGGGTTTAAAATAAAAGAGCTAAATGAGCCACAAACATGGTCCACAGACAATTTAAAAGTATGGTTGGCCGAACACAACGTAGACTACGGAGGGATTACACAGAAGCCAGACCTGGAAAAATTGGTGGAAAACAATTGGAGAGCAACAAAAGAATCTTGGGACTCGATAGACGAGGCGGTTGTCGAATTTTCCAATCGCGTTGGACAGTATCTGAAAGAAAGTGAGTAATAATGCATTTGATATTGATAGAGATTGTTGAACCTTTACTGAAAATGATTGTCTGGTTCTCATTGTCTATATCGCAGCTCTTCATGAATATAAGGATGCAACACAGGAGAATTTGCAAACGCTCCAGGATGAAGCCGCTAGCACCATTGAAGATGTGCGTGAGAGTGTTGGCTTGACTGAGGATCAAATGGCAGGAGCCCTTGAGAAAGTCAAGTCTAACCTCGGGACGGACGATACCAAGATCAATAAGGTTATTCAGGATATCAGCCAATCGTATTCTCTTGCGAAATCAAAGAGGGATGAAATCGTCCAGGGATGTCTCAGTCGAATCAAGGAAGATTATAAAAATTCGAAAGATGTCTCTACTGATTGGCTAAAGGGCAAAATTGAAGACTTGTATAACAGCGCTGGGTTTGCCAAATCAAGAATCCGGGCCCAATACGTTCTCATTATCAACGACGTTCACGAACAACTCGTTTCGTCCGAGGATTTGTCAGCTGATCAAGCCAAGGCTACTAGTGATAAACTCTTGGCATCCCTCGATGCAACATATAATACAATGGGTAGTAAGGTAGACTACCTTCGTAAGGAGCTGTATAACACTATTGGTTCATTATCTTACAAAATCGTTTCCGAATTAAAGTCGCAATTCGCGGCAATTAACGACTATCGCCTGCTCACACAGGATAAGATTCAAAGTGTAGCCGATCAGATTGTCAAGAAACTAACAGATGGAAAAGATTTTACAGTAGATCAAGTCGAGGCTATTAAGAATGCCGCAACAAATTACTTGAGTAAAGCTAGAGAAGAAGCCGATGTTATTACCGACCAGACTAAACAAACGATATTCGAAACGAAACAAACTCAAGAAGATCGGTTCAATCGATTGGCAGAGTATTTGAGGGGTGTGTTCCAGAAGACGCGCGATGCGTCATCGGAGCAGATCTCTGCGCTATGTTCGGATCTTCAAGAGAAGTTAATAGCTACTCAGAATTTGACCAAAGAACAGGCAAGAATAGTAAAAGAGACAATGGACGAAAAGCTTGGGGACGTGAAGAGTGCAAAGGACTTGTCTGAAGAGAATGTGAATGAATTCATTGATGCTTTACGCCAGAAATTTGCGAATGCATACGATGCCACTAGCCAACAATACGAAAGCATTGCTTCAAAAGTGAAAGAGCAGTTGCCAACAAAAGATGAGTTGTAGTTTGTGCAGATGGGAACAAGTGCATGTATGCATGTATTCGATGCGATTAAACAAATTCTATTATTATCGGTTGAGCCGCGCAAGAATAAACAGCAGTAGTATAACAATAAACAACACATCACATTAGTTGATAAGTAAATGAAGGCTGGCGTATTAATATGCAGTATCCCCCCTACAATATCTATTTACCCCTTGCATCATCTTAAGACGCCACAGATTAAAGATATTAATATCCTAACTATATCCTCATTTCCTATATTTCCTTTTCCTCTCACGGAATATCTTCCATCTATATTAATATGTCACCATATGCTTATATGCATCACCCCTAATGTTCTGCTGCATTACACATTGACCTTCGGATTATAATAATAATTATTTGTACATATACAATACGATAAGCAGGCGTTCACCTCTTTCCAGGATTGATTGTTCGGGAACACAAGAAGCGGCCACAAACTTTAGGATCAGGTGCTACTCCTTGTGTTCATGTTTCTATTACAACCATGTTCCTGATGTGTCAATTAGAAAAACTCTGATTATTATTGCCTCAAAAAGTTATGTCGAACTCGAAGCATACAATTTTAATACTCAATGTCATTATTGTTGGTCAGTTGGACACGGGTATTGATTTTCTAGGGAAACGTTTGTTCGCCTTGGTTACAAATTTTACGAATCGTTTAGAATGCCGTTCGAGTCTGACAATGGAAATTCCTGACTAGTATTTTCCGAGTATAGTAAATCAAGATAGTATGGGATTGATTACTACGGATGATCTATCAGAAAGCTAATACAGTATACTGGTTGAAACCGAAGAATATAGTAAAAAAAAAAAAAGCTATAATGTACAAGTCGTTCTCCCAGTTTGATGAGACATTCATTGACTTGATTTTGGTTAATTGCAAATAGCATTCAAGAATCAGAGGGCATGCATGACTTGTTTTAAACCGAGTCGATGTTTAGACATCCTAAATATACACGGGAGTGCTAGTTACTATAATTACACGCAAATCGGAACAAACCATTCTTCGGAGAAAAGGCTTTTGAATACTAGGCAATTTTCATGACAAATCACTGTTGGACAAGGTTTTCTATTGTCTGCAAGTTTGGATAATGGTCTAGATTGCATTTATAATTTACTCTCCTCTTTGAATGAATTAGAGTTCATCGTATCGAGATTTTTATATATATTGTCAGGCATCAAATAGTAACGTTGCACATCGGTTGGGTTGCATACAACCACATGACATAATTGATGTCTACCGCTGCATCATCTTCCTTCTTGTAGGGCCGCACCCAATTCTAAGCGAATGATGTCACGCATAAGCATAGTCCCCCGCACTATACAGAAGTATAGCATGTACTACAAAGTATAACAATCTCTTGGTGGCCAATTTATTTTTAGTTTAATCCAATTAGAGCTTGAGAGTCCCAAAATGGATAATACTATTCAATACTGACAAAATATTAACGAATAGATAACGACAAAGGGTTGCAAATAAATCAATGATTATGTATGTCGAAAATGATGTGTGTGTTCCTTCTCTGTCAGCGAAGTGTATAAAAATATACCTCGTTATTAATAATAGTATTTCTTATTGACTATATTAAGCTCATAAACTAAAAGCATGAAACAACAAATGATTAACGAATTACTTTGGTTTACCGTTTGATTTTCAAATCTATATCTATTATCGCACCACACCTACTTGCCATTACTCAATATCCTCTTATTATCTTTACTATTATGTCACCGAAGTATATTTCGATATCTCGCGGCACCTTCTCATCTCCTAATATCCGTGTTACGTCTTCAGTCTTCACCTGACATTCGCTGTCTCGTATTGCGCGATACAGTTCCAAATGACGCTGTTTGCTTTGTTCGTCTTCTTGAGGAAGAATGTTACTCAAATACCTGTCGGCCTCATTTAAAGATGTCCCCAAGAATGTCACATGGTCATTTATGATTACGGATAATCGAACTGCCAACTCAGGACCTGTGTAAAGTCTGGGGCCCGTCAGAGTATATGCTGCCTGATGATGCGGATTGTCATTTGGTGAAACCAGGAGAGTAGCAACCACTTCTGCAAAATCACGGTCGTCTAATGGCGCGAAGCTGCCTTCGGTACCAATCGGCAATGGTAGAATCTTCTCGTTGATAATGGTGTTTTTATAAATGTCGAAATGATGCGTGAAAAATGGTACACGAAGAAATGTGTACTGGGCAATAGACTTGGACGATATGTATTCTTCTATCTCTTGACCTGAATTAGGGTGAGAATGATACGATGATAAAACAACAAGGTTCTTCACACCCATCTCTTCTGCTACATCAATAAAGTCCCTCAACAAATGGTCTGGTTCATTTGGAGCCTGCCATAGGAAGGCAGCATCTACCCCCTCCAAAGCGTTCCTTACATTCTCTATATCCGTTGGGTCTATTAGACATATTTTCCCGCCTCGCGCCAAGTCCAAAGGCATTTGCCCTATATGGATTCCAAGTCGCACCTTGGATACAGTGCGTCCAAGACGTTTATATAATTCTCGAACAACAGCTCTCGCCTGTAGTGTGTAGTCGGTAATCAGAGTCAGAAACTGTATAGCGACCAGTTTCTTTTATATATAATAAAAGCAACCGAGGCTTTCCACGCGTTCATTCGGAATCCTACCTACCGGTAAATAAAAAGTTCCCGAGACAAAAACCTGACGCTGTGACATTTTATTACTCTCTCAATTCTCTTAAGGTTAAGCAGGTAAAGTGGAAAGGTCGTGAAAGACTCAGCCAAAAAATTGAACGGTGCTTTATACTTTCTGTGATAATTCAAACTTGCATATTAATCATAGCCCTAACCATATTTGTCAATCTCTGGTTACGTATTTAACTATTTATGAATTCGACTATTTTTGAAAATGGTCTGGGATATGCATGTCGAGACGGTGCCCGAACTCTGCAACCCGACGCTTTGGCGCTACAAAGGCGAGGGCAACGCCAATGTCATTTTGGCCCTAAGGAGTCCACATGAGAGATTCGTATGTTTTGCTTCCTAGTCTATGTGCATCGTGACTCACCCGTTGTTGCTTACGTTTTACCGCATCTTGAAACAAGGGAGGTGTGGTTTTGCGTCTGCGCAAAGGCGGCGTCCTTATGCATGACGAGCAGCAAACGCCCGAGATGCCCTCCTTCCTTATATCGTATACTCGCGACGTATTGGTCCCGTTGTTTGGTAATCAGTATACTGGTGAGACGGTATGTGCGAAGGCGTTTTGTGTTGCTTGTGTTGTCCCGTGCGGCTTTTAACGTAGAGAACTGATCAAACGAAAAACTCTTGTAGAAATTGTTACAAGTAACACCGGAATTCTTGCAATCTCTTGCGGAAGCAATAGAGCCCTCCCGTCCTGCTAAAAGAAGACATATTGGAATCGATGTACACCAAGAATTTGCTCTATTGATGCCCGACTATACTGTATTCACGTCAAGCGCAGGGGTCACTTTGGCAGTGGAACTTAAGGTGCATCATTAGACTTTTCATAAAGAAAAAAAAATTATTTTTTTTTTGGCCCCGAGCCCTCTCCGCTCCTCCCCCCACCTCCCCCAACATTTTTTCATTATTGAGTTATATAATAGGTGTTCATTAATACATTATAATGTAGCCTAAATGGGGATTTATACCCACATCTTCGTTTATAAAACCAGAGAATTCTGTAAAGCGTCTCACATGCAGAACCTGCATGCATCAACATCTCAGACATATGCAAGGTGATCAAACAGTTGAGATAATAGACTATTGTCCACTCGATCTGTTTTCTTGCGATGAGTCAAGGTTACGGAAGTCACTACCACAATTAATAAAGCTTGCCGGGAATAAGTTTAAGTTGTTCATACAAGGAGAGAAGATCGATATTGGACAGGTATTTAGTTCTACAATTGACATCTTTAATCTAGTCCTTTTTCAGCTGATATATTTAACACATGGTAGGATGGATGGCACACAAAACTCAACGAATTCTTTCAAATTACTAACGACTTTGTGAACGATTCCCATCAAAGGTTAGTCATAATCGGGTTATAGCGCATAGTACTTTGCGTGTCTGCGATCGATGGTTGGGGAGAAGGGGGGAGAGGGTTGTGAATATTTTTGGGGAGTGTTTTCGATTGGCCATTCGAAATAATTAAGTTAACCGGGAATGATTTTTTCCTTTTTTCTTTTTACAGTAATACACCATATCAGCTTTTTGTAGATCTTTTGGTAAAGGCAATTGTGAACGAACAAGGGCTCTTTCAACGGCTACGTTCTTTGCAAAAGTCGCTGGATTCGCTGGATATCGAGGGAATATATCTGCTCGATCTAATTCAGCAAGGACAGTTACTCGAACCAAACCTGGAAGAATGGAAAAAGACTGTTGAAGTGTATCTTAAACGAATGGAAGAGACTGGTAATTATCACGCTTTTTTAATTACTTTACTAGTCTGCTTTATTTCACTTCTCACACTCGTTGATACCAATTTCAGCTGCCGGACCGCTTGTATTGAAAGACATGACTCTAGACGAACAACGGCAATCATTGTACGAATACTTGTTATCTGCGACTCTGAAAGATTGCTCCATCATGTTTAGTTTCCAAAAACCGGACGATAATTGTGACAGAACTTTGAGCGGTTCTCTTTTTAATCATAGCGATGATGTCAAGAGACTTGAAATTGGCAACATTCTAGATTACGTCGAATACAGGGTCAAACTGCTTGATTTGGATCCAAAATCCGTTACAAAGTTACCATATTATTATGACTTGGACACAGAAATAGTTAAATGTTATCAGAAGCGCGAATTGCACCGAGAATGTTATGAATAAATATTACTGTGTCAGTGTTTTCTACCTGTACGTATATGCAGTCGACCCGTTTGTAGAATCTTCTATGCAGGAAATTTATTGTGCCTGATTATGTTATCACGATGTTTTCTTTTTGTCGATACTTTATTCGATTCCGAAAGATGGGTAGATCGTTAGAATAAGAATGAATTTGGTAACATTGTGAATACAGACCAATTGTTGAACAACTGTCAAAACCATAGTATGCAGAGTCTTTTAAGATGTTTTCGACAACATGCTGGAGAGTAAGGTTGTTGCAGGCAAATTTGTTATTTGGGAACCCTCGTTACTATTGTTTCCTACAATGTAGACAAGCGATTACCGCAACAGCGGGTATCCAGCGCTTTTTTGAAGTGGGAATGGAGGGATTGTTAAACTACGGATATACTAGTGGACTCATCAACAATGCATATGACAAAGGATAATGCTGTAGGACATATTCTGTCAATCCATGACATTGGTTATCCGGCTACTGGAGCATCTTATGCGTTGTCGTTCACTCGGCCATTCGTCTTGGACAGCTTTACGAACAGCATTCTGTCAAGATATGTGATTTATCAACAATCAGTTGGTGAAAACAAAATTCTCAAGTAGATTCTCTATTTCTCCACACAAAATCAAAGTATTTTGTAAATATGGGACATAAGTAATGAATTAAACTAAATTGTAAAATTAAATTATTAACAGATTAAACGTTTACCGCTGATAAATTCTTAGCGTGAAAAAGTACAAGCCATCGGAAGACAGGATGATATGTTCCTATTAGATGAAAATGGTAAAGTTTAATTCAACTTTATTATGATAGCAATTAAGCGGATATCGTTAATGCGTAGTAATTATCGGAACATTGCAATAATAGGTTTTCTATAATACGAGTAGGACGTTTATTTTAAATTTTACAAGAAGAGTCAAATGACATCAGCCTGCGCTTCTTTTGTCGAGTACAATTGACTTCAGTATCATCAATAAAATGCGCGTAAAGGTGTTGCTGTAACATTCAGGCTGTTGACTGATATTCTTCAAAGTCTTATTTTTGACATTAATATACATGGGTAAACTCGATAAGTCGGAAAAATCTCTGCTCTTTTTAAAAATTTCTCCAACCGGGCTTATTGAGTTTACCTAAAAAAAGGTGCTACATCTGCTACAGTTGTGCAATATATTGCAAAAGTTGGCAATACCTCCGGACGGGGAAAGACTCAAGAATATTTAGATATTATTATTATCCTGGATTCTCAATTGAGGCTTTTGGGAGATTCGACGATAACATTTACTGCTCTTTGCTAAACCTAATAATTCACTTATTTGGGAGTTAGTTTGAGGATGCGGGTAACTATCAATCATTACTCCTTGAGCCGGATGGTTAAGTCGGCAAAAAGCAGAATATTTCTTAAGAGGTGGTGCGCGCTTTCTTTTTCTTTGGCATTGATTGGACTTGGGGTTCGTCGCGTGTGTTTTATTTGTGCAAATTTGTTCAAGAAATTGAAATGTATGTTTATTGTCATGGTCAATAGTACGAGTAGCCACAACGCCCACCTTAATGCATCTTTGAGTTGTCGAAATTGGCCAATTACGTGCCGTATTAGTATAATCTTTTAAATCTTTGTTGACTCGAGGCGTCAGTTACGAGATTAAAATGAAGTTATAGTAAGAGGTAAATATTTTTATCGTTCTTTACAATCGGTTTGCCTGCTCCCTTGGCAGACAATTATTTATACTATATTAATATATCAATGTATTGCGAAATCCTGTCAGTTAGTAAAGTCATGGTGCCTGAATCGGGTGCTTCCATTTATGGTCTGTTGCTAATTATAATTGCTCAATATCCTCTACAACATGTCTAGGAACGCCCCCAACTAAAATGGAAAATTCAACATTTTCATCGATATGCATCCATTTCTCACACGCATAATCTAGCCCCTGAACGTAGTTTTTGCATATTCAACCTGAATTCGTTCGTAGCATTATGTTTCTTGTTTATCCGTGGCAGATGAATGGCGATTGAGACGGAGAACTCCGATGTTTGTTGTTTCATCTACTGTAGTCACTTGATCTCCCTGTTTGCAACAATCAAATAGTAAGCCCGCTACATTCATGCAAGCTGCCTCGCCTTCTACGCAAATTCTCTCAAAAATCGAATATGTTTGTTTGTTTGTGGACAAATAAAATTACAGTCTTACAAAAGCTGAATTGTGTGCGCGTTACCTACTGATCTGTCACACATCCGTAAAGAGACAAGCTTATCCAGGGATTGATCGCCAACTACTGCAAAAAATAAAGTTATAATTTCATCTTCATCTTTATTATTACTATTATGCAGAGCCCATCTTACGTCAGAGAGGAACCTTCCAAAATAGATTTTGGTCATACGCTCTTGTGGATTGATAGATACGCGAACGCACAAAGTCTTTAACTTTAGAGACTTGGAATTTTTTCAATAAAGACAAGCAAATAGAAACCTCCTGCCGCCACTCATATACGCCATGGTAGCCAAACCGCCAGCACGATCACAAGCATCAGGTAGTCGCGCTTCCACACCTCAACAATCCCCATCGCCCACTGAGATAATCGACAAGCCGTATCGCCCCGAATTGATGTTTACAAGCTTCTCTGCTCAGCCATCTGTTGTTACAAAGTACGTAACGTCAAAATTCTTGAGACATGATACGTCCTTTTTTCAGAGAGCACAAGGAAAGTCGATCGGAGGAAAAGATAGCGAGGACACAAAGGAGAGTGAGGACGACGGAGGTGAAATCACTGAATCAGACGTACTAGCAAGGTCCGAGGGCGAGGACACTGAGGTATGAGAACTAATTTATTCTGAATCGTTTGGTACAAACGTTCATGCGTCTGACTTTCGTATACTGAATGAAGCCTGAAGTAGAAGGCTCCAAAACATTAGTTATACACCCGGGATCAAAAAATCTAAAGATCGGTCGCGCTTCCGATGCCATTCCCTACGCCATCGTGCCACATGTTATCGCGAGAAAAATGAGAAGCGTTAAAGTGACCGACGGGTCGAACGAGTCGGAAAAGCCCAACAACGAAGCAGGCGGAGATCAAAATGCTGCTGACAATATACACAGACATAAAGACGAGATGAATACAAAAGGAGAGGAGCATAACAAGAAAACACATCGTGACCGGTATGCTGATGATTATGAGCACAAAGGGTCTTCTGATGGTAGTCGATCTGATTCTTCTCGCGAGTCAGACCTTACTGAAGATATCATGGATGAAGAAGAGGTTAGTTTGAGGCCTAAACTGACAAGAAAGCTGTAGATGCTTTCGGAATGCTGGGGCACATGGACGTTACTCGTGACTACGAGTGGGAATATCGTGGACGCATGTTTTGAATTGCTGACTTGTCTTCACGGATTTATATATATTAGGAGCAATCCGAACAAATAGTTGAAGAGTTAAAGAAAGAACTAAAAGAGAGGATGAAGGCAGCCAAGCGTCGTCCTGTGGCTAATGCATCGTCACAAGTGACCTCATTTAATAGGAGCATACAATCAGAGATTATACTTGATCATAACGACCCATATAAAGTAGAGTGGACTGCTGTTGACGAAGATGTTGACTTTTATATTGGTGAGAAGGTACTTGATTGACTAAATTTATGAGTGACAGCATCGAAAGGGGCAATGATGTTTTACTAATGATATTATTATGTTAGGCATTGAGGTTACCGACTACTGTTACTTCTTATAAAGTGCGATATCCTATTCAATACGGAGAATTTAACACCAGAGATTATGATTCCATCAAGTCGGTTGTTGGTGATCTGGAAACAATATGGACGGAAGTGATTGAGCAGAATCTCCATATCACCAGAAAAGAATTTCGAGTAATGTATTGATTAAATATTGTGATTTCCCCCCTCCTTTGTTGATGTGTCTGTCTGCTCACTTTATTTTGCGTCTTTGTAGCATTATTCCGTGATATTGGTTATTCCAGATATATATAACCGTGTGGTGGTAACGGAAATGATGAACATGCTATTACGATATATGGGTTTTCGACGTGCTTTTGTCCAACAAGAGTCTGTCTGTGTTACCTTTGGAGCAGGGATGTCTTTAGCATGTGTGGTTGACATTGGAGCACAGAGAACTAGTGTCTCGTGCGTTGAAGACGGCATGATTATACCAGACTCACGGTAAGATATTTATATATAGGCGTGGGTTTATGTAATCGGAATAAAGTTTAACAGACTCGTAATTTGCCGTTTTAGGATTGCGCTAAATTATGCGGGCGATGATATTACAAGATTTTTTGTGCAATTATTGAAAAAAAGCAAGTTTCCGTATAGAGGTATAGATCTAAACAGATCGTTCGACTGGCTACTGGCAGAGGATATGAAACAGAAATTTTGTTCGTTGAACGAGGTATATATAGTTGTTGCACATCAGTATATTGACGTAGTATATCTCGACCGTTAACGATTGGTTCCAATTTTGGGTGATCAATAGGCAAATCTAATTGTACAACTATATGACTTTTTTGTACGAGCACCAAACGAGTCAACCAGAAAATATCAACTCAAGACGTACGACGAAACTATAGTAGCTCCAATGGTACTCATTATATCTGTAATATTCCATAGCATTTATAAAGGACTAACTGACAATTGAATCAACTTAGATTTTATTTTATCCATCCGTGATCAACTTTAAACAAAAGTTGTCCGAATTCCCTCCGAAATTCGCCAAAAATATATTTGATGACATCACAGACGGATCTGGAACAAATTCATTGGTAAGCACATAATGATCAGTGTACTTTTATATTTATATACAATGAACGTTTATTTTAATCGTAGGTGATACCGGCACATCTCTTCAACAAGCAAAAACCATCCCCGATACAGAATTCATCTCAGCTTAAATCGGCCTATCATTCCCCTTCGCCTCAAACTCGTGACAGCCCACTACCTTCAACTCCGGTCCGTGTTGAATCTGCATCAACTGACCCTGCATCTCCTTCAGTATCCTCCGCTACTAAAACAAATAATAATGCAGTTGCAGTAGACCCAACAAGCACACTGCCTTTAGATGAGGCCATAGCTCAAAGCATTCAGGCGACTATGACAGATGATAGAATGAAGAGGTTCTATACTAGTATTATTATCGTTGGTGGTGGGGCACTATTGCCGGGGATTAATCAGATGTTGGAGGAAAGGTATGATTGAATACTGTCGTGTGGAGATACACTTGAACAACGTTTATCTGCAGTAACTGACGGCTGCATGAAAGCACGATTCATTTAATATATTTTTTTTTATTAAATAGATTGGTGCCGCGAGCAGCTTCGACCACAGAAAAGTTGGAAATCCTTTCTCCGCCACGCGAGCTAAATCCAAGTTTAATGGCATGGAAAGGTGCATCCGTCACCGCTAAATTGGACCTTACAAAGGAGTTATGGATATATCAAAAAGAATGGGCAGAACTGGGGGTAAGATGTTTAAGAGAAAAGGCCCTTTTCGTATGGTAATCCCATTTGATCACGTGCTTAACTAAAATGGAAGTGATCTTGATTGAATCATCCAATCATATTTATGTGTAATTCATAGACGTTTGTAGATTATCAAATTAGACGTGTCCAAAAAGCGCGTATTGTAACAAATATAAAGATAACCAAAACAAACAAGTCCTTTACTCTTTAATTTACTTCTGTTCAAAACTTTGCGTAAATTACTCTTGCTCATAACGCAATATGTCATCTCCAGAACAACGTAATAAACAGATATTATATTTTGTTTACTGTTATTACTGTCGACTCTCTCTAACAAGTTATGGTGAAAACCTAACAAGTGCGATTTGTCTATCCTCTGACAGCAATAACTTGCAAAGAACAGGAAGCCTGCAAAGAGCGGGAGGCTCAAGAAGAGCAAGAGGTCCGACAAGAGCAAGACTTTTGCAACCGGATTGAAGAGGTAGAGTCAGACTACGACTACGACAACAGTGCTTTGCAAGCGCCGGATAGTCCTGAAATCCCCTCAGTCTCCGCTTGTGTTGAATGCGATACTACAGAAACTACTACGTCCGACGAGGTCAGAGTCTTCCCATTGAGTATACTTTTTTAAGTCGTTGTAAGTTTTACCTAACTCCCTTGTCTGTATTAACCAGGCGAGAATACCACATTTGCAGTTTACCGTGCCAGAGCCGTTTAAATTCCATAAAACACGAACTCATTGTAAACAAAGCATTGAACAGAAATCTCCGTACGTGCCACTCGCCACGCGAATTAGAGAGTTGGTAGAAAAGACACCCGAGAGATTCAAGTCGCACGTTGTATCAAAGGTGAGATACTCGCCTGGCAGTACCATAACGCTTTTAACCTTGTGTATAATAATATAACCCTCTCTTTCACGTTACAATATAGCAATCACACTATGTCCATCAAATCCCACTAACACGACCCAAACCATTTACACTACAAACGGCCATCCGAGGGGAACACTACAAGGATCTTTTCCAACAACGAATTGACCAACTTAGACAGCGCGAGAAGGAAAATCAATTTCGAGCAACACCACTTCCTAACCTCGATCCAGACATTCCAAAAAAGCCAGAATTACGGCCACCAACAGAACCTGTGGACTTTTACTTTTTAACTGAAGAACGAATCAAGCATCATAGGTTCTTGGAGCAAGAAAGGAAACAACGTGATGAGGACTATGATAACTTGAGACTGAAAAGGCTGAAGGAAGAAGAGGTGTGTAGGAATGAGTTGCATGTGTTCGATAAGTAGTATATGTTCGATTAGTAGTATGTGTTCGATTGGTAGTAAATGTGTTCGATTAGTGGTATCCTTGGTTCTGACCAAGGACAATTTTTATTGTCGTTATTTAGAGACGAAAAGAAAGGGACCTTCGCCGATTACGTAAGGAACGTGTCTTGCGCGCTCGTCCTATCATGAAATACCGCCCAATCATCATTATTCCATCGAAGAAAAAGTTAACAAAAGCCAAGTCTCCAATGATTGGGGAGAAGAGGAAGCGTCACATGCAGTATCTTCAAGAATCAGCGCTGAATTCAATAAACGGGAGTCGCTCGGTTTCAGCAATGTCACTCCATTCAGAACAATAAGAAAGTAACCATAGTGACGGGCAAGGACGTTGGATAAATTATCAGGGAATCTGTTATAACTCTCGCCTTATTTTCTTATATACATTGCTTCGCCATTTATGTAGTATTAGTATATGTCCATTCTGGCAATTGAACGAATAAAATTCTTGCATTACAAAACGTAGATCCATCCAAATATATGTACCAAATGAAAATGTCAAATGCATGTTCGTTACATCGTTTACATTCTCCAAAAATGAACCGGTGGTTAGCTTTCTCAATAGCAGTATATCTCTTACTGTACTCTTCCAACGTTTTTGCGGTCGATGTTTTAGAAATAGAAGATGGCATGTAATGTAGTAATGTTGGGATAGCATCAGAGAGTGTTGTATGGCTAAACTTTTAACCTGGCTTTACACACCTTAGAATTCAAGACGGTTACTTATGGGTCAGCTGTAAAATTGACGCACAGCATATCAGAGTATAAACTGCACTCGCACGGTGTAAATTATGGTACGTTGTACGGGTCAAAACGGGTTTTTACATGTCTGTTATAGATAGAGTATAACCGGATATACTGCAGGCAGTGGATCGGGCCAGCAAAGCGTAACTGGGTTCCCCGAGGCAGATGATCCAAGCTCTCTGTGGATAGTTAAACCAGCCGACGACGTGACAGGCTTTCAAAGAGGGTATGTATGTGGGGAATCAGATTTCTACTTTGAATCATTACCGAAAGATTAAACCAAACGTTTCATACAAATTGTATTTTTCGTCAACAGCCAACCTGTAAAATGTAATTCATTGATACGTCTTCAACATATCGATACCAAAAAGTTTCTGCATAGTCATAGTCACAAGTCGCCCATTTCAGCGCAGCAAGAAGTCAGCGCATTTGATGGAAATGATTCAGGTATATATATACTGCATTATTTTGATTACTTTGATTATTTATTATCTTTATCGTGACGATAATGATTTCTTTAATAGGGGATAATTGGAAGCTTGTCTGTCAGAAATCGTCTTCTGTCTGGCTTCGAGAAGGAAAGGTGCAATTGATGCACCAGGATACAAAAACTTATTTAACGGCAAACAAAGACCACATGTATAGCAACCCGATTCATGGACAGATTGAAGTTGCAGCATCAAAGTCGGGTGATAGAAATACAATGTGGATAGCACAAGAAGGCATCTATTTTCAAGACGTGACGGTTTAATTTTAAATCCAGCATCGCTAATAATGCAATTAGAATAATTTAAAAAAGAAGAGCCCATTCGTTTACTGATCAGATCGTCATTTTATCAGAGAATGGGCTGGGATAATAAAGAATAATGTCAAATTTTGACGACATTGATATGTTCACATAGTACATCGGTGAAGTGAGTTGACCAGCAAAGTATAGGAATGAAGGTTGCAATTTATACATACAAGAGGATAAGGTATGATATGACGGCATGGGCAACAAAGCTCGTGTATGAATGAAGAGACAAAAAGACTAATAGATCCTCAACAGTCACATGCAAATTTTGCATTTCCCTATATGGATGAAGTTTACCAAACACAACTCCCTAATTAGGACCAACGTCCTAATTTGGAATAGTAATCTAATCACTGTTACCATTACAGCGCAAGTTGATTATAAGTCGATATCTTATAGTAAATAATAATAATAATAATAAACGATAAATTTATTTCTAATATTAATCCAAGAACAATGGATGTTGCAATGTTGAACAGCGTGATTTAAATAATTTCCGATGGATTAACAATATTAAAAAGATTATCATCGTTAAGATCTTTTCGATGATTTGTTCAATATCGCGGATCGAAGAAGTATATCATCATCCGTTCCGCAATCTTTCTAAGTCTGCTGTCGGATAATAAGTAACAGCTGTAGGACTAATATTCAAATCGCTCATCTGTTGCCCAAATAGACCGAGCGAGTCCCGTCAGATACTGTTCAATCATCACAAAATTTCTTCGCCCTTCCTCTGCCTCCTCCTGATTATTGACTACTTCTGAATTGTCCCAAATATGTGCAGAAGTAGATTCTACAATAGCATACATATCAATATGTCAGTGTTGAACAATATATAAATAAAAATTAAACAAGGATTGCTTACCTCTAGTATTGCTAGTTTCAAAACTCAAAGCTTGTAAACTTGGATGTTTCAAAAACGGATAGACTTTTTGACGAACGACAGAAGTGAAAAAGCTTGTATTTGATCTTAAATTTGAAGCCTTCAAAACCAGATGATAACACATTGGCCAACGACTTAGAGCCAATTAAAATTTATCCTCGGAGAGAATTGTTGTGATTGACGCCGCAGTATCCGAAAATTCGAGCTTTATCGAAAACGTGAATTCCTCTCCCTTACTCGAGGATAATGGTTGAAGTAGCCATGGGCCAAACCTCCTCCGACTTGCGCGTTCGTGTATTACGGGATCTGAATTTACTTGCTCAAATTCATTTTCGCATTCATTACTGTATTTTTCGAAAACTTCTTCCAAATCAAAATCGTCCATTGTCAACGCATCACTTTCCACGTTCCCGGCCATCTTTTTGATTTTGTTGTTTTTTTTTTTTTTAATTTAAAAGTTCATGTTTACCGCTGAATAAACAACCCGCATGGAATAGTATTACTTTACCTTTAAAAGATGCTTGCTGTAGCTCTGTTACGGTTTGAGAGATTTTTCCACTATTTTTTAAAATCCTTCCGCCACCGTCTCTCGTCTGGGTGTCAATTGATAATATCGTTCGCTGGTAATGTGGTAGAAGCCGCGTTGTAATAACATATACAACCAAATCAAGCCGGGGACGGAAAAATTTCTCGTTCGAATCATGTGTATAATTAAATCACGTGAGACGACTTTGAATTAAAAAAATCTGATAAGATGCGTAGATCGCTAATTCCGGTATTTACAGAACCATTTCAACCGGTATTGCCAACGGCAAGGTTTATTCCTACGGTAAGAGTGACCAAGATTCTACTGATTGTTGATTAACTATTTAGTACCGATTGTACGTAGTAGCAAGTCTCAAGATAACCGACTATCGCCATTACCACTGGACAGTTTTATTAATAATAAATTTATTGGCCATTAAGGTTGAACGCGAATCGATAGACTTGGATAAAACGTTAGTCATATACAACGAAGAGCTACTGTCAATGGCAGGAATACTTACTCGCGTCGTATATGAAGTGCAAATGGACCAAGCAATCCCGCTTCTATACTAACACAGTTAGCTCCAGGATTGAAAAGAAGTGCAACCGGCACGCAAACTTTTACCTTTCGTCCAAGTACACCTAAAAACCACGTGGGCATCATAATGGAAAAGATGTTTTTTACCTGCTCCAACAAACCTCTGTCTGTCCCCGTTATTCCAAAGAATGTGCTGAACGATTGCAGAAGTTTCTTTTATAAGGCCAAGGAACGAATGGTGATAAAAGAGATCACGTTGGAAGGCGTGTTGAACGTGGAACTGCAGGAGAGAGCATTGACCGAAACAGAAACGACAGCGTTAATGAAATGGTGGCCAAGTGTCGGATATGAAAAGATCGCAATTTCTGCTCCAGGCTACGACTACTGTTAATGATAGAGTTTGCCGTTGGCCAATTTCAAGTATTTCTTGAATTCTAACTTGGCGGCGATTGACAGTGATTTCCCTATTAACACGTTGCCATATGCGATTACCAGAACGCTTGCTAAAAAATCCCTTGAAAATTACTTTGGGTAGTTATGCATACTTTCTCAATGTATTTAATCTATATCCGTTTTCATCCTTGTTAATTCGATAAATTACTCTCAGAAATTACAGAGAGCTTCCGCTTCTCACTTGGGTAGAATTTATTTATCCTTAAAACGCCGAAAAGTCGAATCAGACGCAACCTTTGCCGAAAACTTTCTCGGTATCCTCAGTCGATCCTTCAACAACAGATCAAGAGGCTCTCCATACTTTGTTGAGCCAAAGGAAAATAACTCCTACAAAATACGGGTTGTATATTCCTGACCAGGCCTACTTGTCGTCAGTAACCATCCTTCCGGACCTGCCCACAGTATATTTAAAAAACCTCAACATGTAGTCGAACCTTTTTTTTTTTACTTTTCTTGGCGTCCGCAAGCATGTCGAGTTACAATTAATATTTGACCGATTAATTTCCCAAGGCAATT